CAAACGGCCACCAGTGTCCACCAATTGCAGACACAGCTGAAAGAAGGACATATATTACTCTACATAAAATTATGTTTGTAAGTATGATTTTATCGTTTTAAGTAGACCTACCAAAACAAGCCAGCAGGGGTTGGGTGACATTGACGAAGTATCACAAAGCGACAGTACTCGCAGAGTTGGTGTTGGGGATGTTAGCAATCGTTGCACTTCTGGAGTTGGAGTCTTGGCTAGGATGGCGTTCCACACGGGAAGAATGGGTGAGATACAATGAGTTTGATTGTGAAAGGAATTCAGATTTGTAATAACATTAGATAGCAGACCAGAATGAAGGCGATAATACGGAGTGACAGTGATAAGAACAGCAAAGACTTTTAATAAAGCCAATTGATGGCGAAATGATCGTTCTGTGCGAAGTGCCCAAATGAGACTCCTGTGGAGAGCGCGCAGTTCACCGGCTACGCGAAGGGAGTAGGGAATGAAGGTGGTGGGTTGCCAGTTTGACGGCTCTTCCGCAACAATGAAACGCAGAGCCAAGTTGTCCAGTACAACACCTAACATTACGATGAAGAGCTGAAACGAAAGACACAGCACACATGACCCATAATCTTAGCCTTCAACGATTTGGATACAGTAATTCTAGTAAAATTGGCCAGTACCAAGGTATACACACCTCTCGCAACCTAGCATCACGTTCCCTGCACACCGCCTCCAAAAAGTCCGACTGAAACGACCGTATTCCCGTTGACGTCCAAGTCTCACGACAAATACGTTTCGACGTTAGTAGACGTCGGAGACAGAAGGTCGCAAGAAGGCGCGACTTTTTTAGCTCTCGCACCTACAATCCAAAGGAATAACGAAGGAGCCGAGAAGGATTGGTGGATGGATAGCAATCCTGGATGAAACACTCACGGCACAATTCTCCGTCCCACCTGCATCACTAACATCACCACCACTGGAAGAGGGACAAATACTGCTTGAGGATGAAATAGGGGCGCTTCCTTCCTCCCATCGGGATTGACGGTTAGAGATGCAAAAAGCAACAGGCCATATAACTTGCGTAACCCGGACTAATCTATCCAACTTTGCTGGAATTAGTCTGGTGGGATGAAAGAGTTTTCGATGACAGAGAAGTTGTACTAGCGCATGGAAGCACGAGAGCTCTGTTTTTGTATCTTCCTAGGACAGGATGAAGCGCACGATTTATCGCCACTTAGAGAGAAGACAATGAATGTAAATGAGTCAATCCAATCATCTACCTTAGCCATTTCTAGTAGAGACGTCAAAAGATCAAGGCAACTTTCACCGCTTTGGAAGTCCAAAAAATCAGGATTAGAAGAACCAACGGCCACCTTCGAGGACTCTGCTGTGGTTCCTGTTGTTCCGCTGGCGATCCTGTAATTTATAGGGCAGAGGTAGAGGAGACTGGCAAGACCTGCCGAAAGGTTTTGCCGAAGTTCCGCATTGGATTGTACGACCTTTACTGTGAGTAGTGAATCAAGGAGCGTCTTAAAAGTAATCTGTTCAAAGAGAACCACGTTGCCTGTAAGGGAAAGGGTTAAAGTATTACCTATCCCATTGCTGATAAGGGCATGAATTATAGCTGCAGCCTTAAGGGGGTTAGTTTAAAGCTGTAAAGGTATCTGACAAATTGAGATCTTGTTAAAACAAACACTGATTTCTTTACGCCAATTTGACTAGTTAAGAAGGAGTAGTGTGTAGCCAAATAAAGAAATAACATATGCAACACATAAGTGCGATAACTTTAACGGGTGAATCGGAACAGCAGTAAACATTCCCAAGTGTAATTAGGGCCAAGTTGGCACCGTGTCATTTCGTGTACTTAAAAATCGGAATCACCTACGAGAGAAAACGGCGGACAACTAGTCCGACTTGAGCTTAATGCCGATTCTTTATTTAATAAGGAGATAAAAGAAGGCTCAGAACAATAACTTTAAAATCAGGAATCACTAGCAGTTACAAATGGCAAAATAGCATTCAAAGTGGTAAAGTGCCAATAAGGCTTACTAGACTAGGAAAATAAGTGAAATTAAACATTTTCGATATATAATAGAGCATTTCGCGTACCCTTAACCATGTTACCTACGTCACGGCAGAAGCGAATGGAAGAGACACGGCCATGGGCATGGGAAGTGGAGAGATTAAGAGCAAGTTTGTTGAAAATTTCTTTCGACCTCTGAAGTTCATCTTCCGAAAGTATTTGTAAACATGACGATCTAGTCAAGGAAGGAAAGCGACCTGCATCCAGCTGAGCTTCCAAAATACTGAAATCCGGAGCAGACCCCGTAAAGAGAGAACATAGGGTCGACCAGTTTTCTAATTCTATCGGCTTGTCCATGACATATGCATGGCTAAAAACACGCATTCGAATGTTATGAAAATCAAAGAATTGGCAATCATGATGCAGTCTGGACTGTTGCTTAAAAAATAAAGGTGGAAGTATTTACTAAGCATTATGGTGTCATCTGAAAAAATAATTTGTTTTGAAATACAAATGCCAACAACGCAACTTCGGGTAAGTCAAGCGGCACCCATTAATTTTCAGAGCACTTACAACGAATTAGGTGTCAATTATGGATTCGCCGTGGAACGTATGCTCAAAGTTCTGAACTCAGCAATGGACATGAAAAAAGAATCCGAATACTGGTTTGTACTATGCACACGGAAGCACGCGCATCTGTCATTTGCAGAATCAAGGCTATACCTAGGCCATACGAATTCCGGCTTTTTTGACCTTGAAACCCCATTGGGAGATTTGTATGTTGCGGTCGGTGTGGCTTTCATGCATGCAATTGTAAACTTGATTTGCATCAAATTCAAACCAATAAATGGGATTGTAGCTATACTGAAAAACTATTCTACTATGCCTTCCCTAAAGCAGCTATTAAAATTATTTTAAAAGCTTTTAGGAATGCTTTTAAGGTGCAAGCTGCTTTCCGCTTGAATAATTCAGCTCTCAACACATACTACGAGGCCGCACGATCGCCGCATTAATTATAAATAAAAATAGTACCGAATTATGAAATCTTCTGCCCTTTGCCTTGATACGGTTTTGGATGGATTTGAATTCTTTGAAGTCCTTGTGCCTCATTGACGGTGAAAGTTCTACTTCTTTTATGCTGTATTGTAATATTTTTGTC